ACCGTTCAAAAACGTATTCATGAAGACCTCTGAGAACAACAAAATGATGCTTGAAGCATGAGAGAAACAAGGCCCCTTTTCCTGTCGGTCCTCACCCCATCCTTCCTCACCATTGTGCATGTAATGTGGTAGTCACCCCAAGGCAGAGCGGGTACAGCTTTCCTGTGGTAGCGCTTGTGTTGCTAGTTGCGATTGCAACTATATAGGTGTGAGGCTGCAGAACTCAACGTCCGTGTAACGCAGTGGGATATTTTCGGAAGGCAAGATCTGTTTTGAAGTTGTCTGAGCATGTTGGATCTGCCTTGAAGCAATAGAATAAGTTTTTCAGTTAAAAAAAAACACTGGTTCTGCATTGGAAGGCAATATTAATCTTCAAAACTAATGAATACATCGGTAGATAATAAGTGTAGGTGCTTGAGCTAGGCAGGCTGCTGCAGAAAGATTAAATGGCCAAGTTTTGTGCAGAAGCTTCCCACTTTGTCTTGCTTTGACGATGCCATGTTGTTACTTGAGGTTTAGCAGACCTTGCTGGTTTTGCTGACATGTGAAGAAAGGGGACTGCTAATTTTGATATTTCAAAATTTTGCGAGTTTATGTTTGTTTTAAGCTCCATGTTCATTATGACCTATTGCAGAAGTTTTAATTTAATAATTATGATCCAGCAGTAGTCTCATTTGAACATAAGGGCAACCAGAAAATGCCCTCAGGGCAGGTGCACAAGTTCTTGCCACTTGAATTGGAGCAGACCTACTTGATATTTATATTTGATGGTAACGATTTGCACTAGAGAGTTAAAAATCTCATCAGCACATAATGCTATTGCATTTACTTGTGATAAGGAAGCTATCAAAGCTGTTTCTGCATCTTCTTTCAGTGAATTGTTGCCAGGCAGCAAATTTTAGGTCTGTTGTAAATTGAAATGGAGCCATGTAAAAGTGAAGCACTGCACTGCAATGTTGCTTTACTGGTAACTCGCTGGTACTGGCCAGTTCACTTGAGATTGCCCTCATAATTTTAGTATTACAGCTGCCAGGTGATAGCAGCCGTTTTCCAGTAATCGTAGCCTGCCACCCCTTAGCTTATCCCTGGTGTCATAAATTTACCTTCTGCCTTGAAATTTCACTTGCATAAATAAATGTATGTAATTATTAGCTTAGTTTTAAATCACTTATTCTTAAACATTTCTGAAGAGCTGTCCAACTTTTTCATTTGGGATTGCGTTATCAAAAAACCTGAAAGCCTGGTGTGCTAGGTGGTAACCCTTCTGTGGTTTTTTTCTGATGCATGTCTTATGCAGTTGACTGCATGTTCTGCATAGCTGTTATTGTTTATTAGTTTCATTCCAAGTGTTGAACGGAGGAGGCAACTGTGCACCCGTAGGCTTGAAAGGTTCGCAGAAGTGGCAGCAGTTTAGTGTTGTCTCATTAACTATGCTTCTGTTTGGAGCTTTACTCTGTCCATGTATTGTTGTTGGATATATTAAAGCAGTTCTAAGTAGTTACACTGCACTGTTTCTAATCAAACTTTGGAATACCCTCTGTGCTTGCTCTATGAAGAAAACTAGCCGTCTTCCAAGTACAGTCACCCTATCTGCAGTCTTGTTGTTAGGCGCTGTGACACATTGATAAATAGGTTATATACCGGTTGTGAGGGAGATAATTTGCCATCATTAAATGAATCTTTCCAAACTTTTGAACAAGGCTTCTGCTTGCTGGCTCATTTGGGTCTTTCTTTTCATATTTGGTTGATACATAGCTGTAACTCTTAGCAGGTATTTTCTACCATTCATGTTCTGGTTTCTATCATGCACAAAGTACATTTACACTTGTACACTGATGCATGTTTTAAGATTACAGCCTTATTTGTAACCATGAATCCAAAGGCTAGTGTGTATGGTTTTGACATCTAGTATGCTTTCATGCATACTTGTGTACTTTAGTTTATACACAAAGCACACTTGCACATACACAAACATGCTTTCATCATTGTCAATAATGGTGGGACAGCTGTAACTTCTCATGCTTGTCATGCATTTCAAGGCACGGCATGCAGCTGGGAAACATTAGGAGGGCCTTGGTGTGTGCTGAAATATGCAAGGGTAAAGACGGGGCGATGTGTTGAATGAGTTAATTAGTGCCTCATTCTCAAGAGCCAGAACTGCTGGGGTGGCATTCAGCCACAACTGCTTCAGTGCTTGAAGTGTAAAGCTTCCTGTTCCAGAAGCATTGTTGTTTCTGTGACATTGTTTCTTGTTTGTAAGTTTGTCGTTGAAGAAACATGAGCTGCCACAAGCAGGTTACCATTCATGTCAAATGCAATGCTCCTTCTTCATATGTCTTGGCATGTTGCAGTTCACCTGGCAACACATCTTGATCGACATGTATGCACTAATAAGCTTTAAACTGTGCTTTTTCTTCTCTCCTATTTTTGGTGTTCACTTGCACTGTATGGGCACCACTGACATGTCATACCTGGCACATAATTCACTATTATAGTGAATGGGTCTTGGATGGTCATACAAACTCCTAAAAATTGATGAGGGCAGAGGGCAAGCTGCTGTTGCTGGAAAACCTTCATAGCTCTTGCACTGCCCTGTTCTGGGCCACGAATCGGACTGCTTTGTGCCACTTGCTTCCTTAGGCTATGTGCACGTGTTGCGTGCTTGATACAATGTACACTTTCACAGCTGCTTAGAAGTGTTACTCATTGCTATTTTGAATGAGTGATGTTTCAACTTTTTCATTTTGTTTTTGGCATCACTCTTGCTCATATTTTTTTTGTACGTTATGATTGCATTCTACATTTGTGTCCAGTGTTTCTTCTGGCATCCAAAATGTGTTGCATTTTTTCTCTCCCCCTTTTTTTTTTGTCTAGGCACAAAAGAAGCAAGTCATGTTGGACGGTATTAGCATGATGGAGGTATCTCTGTGTGGCCATTCATTTGGCGAAGGGGCATTGCTTGGCAAGTCGCGTTTCAGGCAGACAATCATCCATCACTGTCCAGAAACACTGCTTTGTAATTGTTGTGAAGTTGCGCTAAAGTTGAGTTTGACTTTTTGCTGTTGGTGAGAGGTAGGGAGTGCACGTTAGGTGCGACTTTTTTTTTCATGCTTGTATCTTACAGGAGTTGCGGGGTAGGAAAAGCTTAATCTGCCTGTAAGGATGAAGCAAAAGCTGAGAAATTGGGCTGTATTGCTGTTATATGTGCAACCTCTGTGTGCATTGTGGGATCAACCTTTTGTGTGTGCCTGCTTGCAGTAGCTATTAGCCAAGATTTGCTCTTTGGTGCAAGTCGTTTGTCTCTCAGCCTTTGCTCATGTGTCTGTCCCTACAGATTGTAACCATGTGTGACATGTAACAGTACTAGACATCTGTATGTGATTGTGGCCATAAAAACTTAGCTTATTAGCACAAGCTGATTCCGAAGGTCTGATTAAGACAAGTTTGGGTGAAGATCAGGAAAAAGAAGTGAATACTGCAGTAGTTACTCTATATTCAAATTTGAATTGCCCTAGAAAGAAAACTGACATATCCATTATTTTGAAGTATGGTACAGAATTTACATTGTTAGTTTTCAGTTCTGACTTCTTTTTTTTTTACTTGTTCTGTTGGTGCAGTTGCCATACAAGCACATGCAGTTTTATCTGTTACGCAGTCTTTTGTGTGTTCATCCATATCAGACTTTGTCTTGGGAAGTGATGTTGATATTTTCAAACTTTATTGGCTTTTGGTGAATGATTTTGAGTGAAAGTTTGACAGCTGGTGTGTGATTACTGCTAACTGCATCTGCCACACTTCTGCTCGTGCTAACTATTTAATGATGTAGGCTGTTCTACAGAATTGTCTAGTACTTGTGTCAACAGCAAATAGAAGCTGCATATATATTGTTAATTAGCAAGTATTAGTGAGGGGTTGTAACTGCAAGAACAGAAAAAAAAGACTGGAAAAAAAATCTTGTGGCCTGGCATATGGTTTTCTTTTAAAAGCATGATGAATAGGTAAAGATTTCTAGTATGGTAAATTGGTTCTGTTGTACTTTGTAGCCACATTATTGCAGTTTCCTCCACTACTTATTGAGCTGTCTAGTGTCTGTGTTAACTAGGCCACCTTTTTGTGCTTTAGTTAATATTACTTAATATTCCTTCAATAACTCCGTGTAGAAAGCTTTTTTTTATTAAGTGAAAAGCATTGTGTAGGTGTAGGTATTTATTCCTACTTGATAAATCTGGCGTGCATGCATAAGTAAATGGCAACTGAGCCTAATAGCATACTCGTAGCTGGCAACTTCTTGATGTGCTACTTTTACAAACACTCTATGGAAGGCTGCCTTTTGGCTTTGGTGTTTAGTGGGAGAAGCAACATGTATTCATAGTGGTTGATTTTATTGCTGACTGTATTACTGCTTAAATAGAATGTACCTCACCAAGCACTATTTCTACATGTTTGGCTTGGAGAAAGTTCACTACACATATTGAAAATGTTTTGTGTGCATAGTGTGGCTTGACATATTTTTGCAAAGCCAAGAAACGGGATTGGGTCAGTTAGTGTCATTGTATTCGTGATAGTCTTGTAGCTGCTGCTCTTATGCTTTCTCTCTTGAGCTACTAATCCTTCACGTTATGCCAGCAAAAGTTCGAGCTATTCCACTTGTGCTCGTTGCCTTTCCTCCTTGTCTTGTGTGGTTTCTACTTTCTAGCTTTTTAAAAGTTAAGAATTTTTGTTGTGTTGTTTGTATCTGTGTAATCATTTGCTTTCACAGTAGTGAAGCACCTCTCCCTGGCTAAGAGGCATGTCAGTTTGGTTTGTGTTATGACCAGCTCTTATGGATCTGTAACATAAACTCACTGCAAAAAGACAAAGAAAATGAAGCTTATTTATTTGTTTATTTATTCTCAAGTTGAGCAAGAGCTTTATTGGACTGTAAATGTAGAGATTAATTTTTGTTTTTGTGCACATGTAAAATTTCAAACTATCACTTTTTTTTTGCTTTGCTAAAACAGGCGCCCTGTTCCATCAGTCCCACCCAGAATCCCCGACCGGCCACAGGTTTCATCTTCACAATGGCCCTTCTGAGTTTTCCATCCTCGTGTTGTGGGGAGGACGACCAGCACAAGAGACTTAGAACAGAGAGAATTGTGAGAGCAAAAGGCCTGTGAAGCTGAGTAGTGGTCCAAAGGCAAGCCTTGGCAGGAGGGTCGGTGGCACGAGGTGAAAATGGGGGCGAGGACCGAAAGAGAAGCATTCCAAGCAGCAGCGTGGCGCATAGGGCAGCCAACCGCCTGCGATCCCTTGGCAGGGACATCCCTGTCCATGTCACCAGAGGTTAGGCGAAAATCACGTGCCCTGCTAGTCCCGAATCTGCCTCACTTGTTTGTTTGGATTGTGCAAGTTTTGTAATGTAATTTTCTGTGATTCATTTTTTGGTCACTGTGAATTGCTCTTTCTCTTTGTGCCACTTGTATTTTTTTTAATTGTGTGCTCACTCAGTCTGCCTGACCAGTATACAGAGGCATACATATGGGCACAGCGTGTCCCCCCCCAGCCTGTCACTGGCTGGAGGGCTGCCCATGACGAGCACCATGCCATCTGTTGTGCTTGCTTCACTTAGACGGGGTCCTTGGTGTTGCCTGCCGGTGTGTCCTCATTTCGCCAGTTCGCCATGAGGCAATTCAACCATGTTTTCCCTGTGCTGCTTTTTTTTTGGTTATGTTTGAAAAGAAGATATTTATTTGGCAAGGCATTCTTAAAGAAACACTCAATACAAAACTGCTAAGCTATACGTGACCCCCAGTATGCATGCTTTAATATGTCGTCACATAGTGACTTGAAAGATGAGACTTCATTTTTGCAGGGCCATGCTGACTTTTTTTTTGTATTTGTAGATAGAAATGGGCTTTTGCTTTTTCAAAAGTCGATACAGAAGCTTATTTGCTTGTATTGTCCAAGTCCCTCAACTGGTGTTCACATTCAGCACTGGTGGTGGGGAAGCCTTTTTTTTTTTTTAGCATTTTAAATGTTCAGTTTTGAATATCTAGCCCTATGTTTGGTTGAAGGGTATTTATTTCATTGTTGCACAGTTTATTTGCCTTATTTTTTACAAGTAAGGCAAAACTTGGAGGTTCTCTCTTGCTGTATTTGAACTTGCGTGTCATTAATGTACCAGTTATACCTGCATAGAGAACGCACATGTATTGGCATTGATGTCCGAAAAGAAAAAAAAAAGATATTTTTTGTGTGCATTCTGAGTGCACCGTAGCGTATGAACTTGCCTACTATTTTTTGTGAAGATATGTCGAAGATGCAGTAAAGACAAAGTGAGTTTTCTCTGTCAGGGCGTCTAAGACGCGATTGTAGTCTCTGTGTTCTGTAGGCTCAGATAGCATTCTAGCAGAGCTAAGCCCCCAACTGTTCCCACATGCTAATTCTAAATTACCAGAGTAATCATACACAGCATGAATGTCTCAGTACAGCTGGGCACACACTTTATGCTTACAAAAGGAAGTACGTGCTGTAAGAATGTATGATATGACGACAGACTGGGGACCCTCACACCAGTGATGTACACATGCGCAGCAATGTGGGTTTGAAGTTGTAAATTAAAGTATCAATGTTGGCGATGTATTGTGTTTTTTTTCTATTGACACATTGTAATGCATGGTGCATTTTGCTCCTATTGAAACTGGTCTGACAATACAATGCAAACGAGCAGTGTGTGAGTATCGGATCTTGACATTCGAAGCAAATTCTAGTAATGAAAACAAAGCACGCATCGAAAAGAATATTTTTGGATGTTCGGGAAGTTTAAGTACTAATATATTTACTTCGGCAGCAATTTTTTTTTACAGCAGCCTTAGACGAACGAGCAAGTTTATTGTACAGCGTACAAGATGAGGCATTGCACAGCACTAATGTTACAGCACTGCATCAGTGGTTATTTAATATCATTAAGGAAGTATGACCGCTCAGTATGATAGGGCAGCATGCTGCGACACACCCTGTATACATGTCGTAGGGCGTCACTGACTCCCCTCTCCGCACAGATTTAGCGGCCCAAGCCAGGGCACAGAACCTCAAAATCCGCGTTTGTACAGGCATGTCTTGCCATTGCCGGGAACTGCATAGATTTCGCGTTTATGACAAGCACGGCTTCTCGAGATGCGATCAGCTTGACTGCCAACAGACGGCGAAACCAAGAGGATGCACCTGCACACTCGGCTAAATTGTCTTCTTCTACATTCCGCTGCTCGCACGATCTACTGCGTACGCACTCTACAGTTCAAAATACTATGAGTTTGTAATTAAATACGCTATCCATACGCAGGACCAAAACTCAAGTTTGCAGAGCGACGACAACGCTGCGCCTGGATTTGGCGGCAAGCTCCGGGGAAATTGAGGATAGGCGTGGCAGTAGGGCGCAGGCGATTCAGTGTGTTTTGCTGAAGCAGGAGTGCGTGCACTGTATCAGTGGCTGTATCGGTTTCCCGGCACTTGACTCGCAGTGGCTAAAGCTGAGTTTGCTGCCTCGCGGCGAAGTCGGCGGGTCATGCTCTCGTGGTACAGAGTACACGACTCTAGAACTTCTCGAACATTTTAATGCCATTACCGTACGAGTGTTTATTTGTTTAGTACGCCGCAAACGTTTGCTCATGACAGTACAAGGCTGCTACTACTAGACACCACATCAAAACATAATTTTCATAAACGTCAATGCAGCACATCGATAGAGTGCGCGGCTACATGTCGACAGAATGAGACTTGCCTCGAGGTATACAAATGCATTTCGCAGTGCCTCGGACGTCCTCGTCTTCTATCGTCTGCTCCACATCATAAATGTGACTACCGAGCTTTACTTCTTTAGTTATATAGATTCACTTTTGGGAAGTGCTTCTCCAGCTCTCATTTTTTTTGAAGCAGCACTGCTAATGGTACATTGTGAGTGACTCAAGTGCACTGCGCACGCTCTGCACAAGCACGTAAGCGAGCGGCAGCACATTGGCGGAAGGGAAAGCTCGCGATATACATCCCCGATTTCTACTTTTCTACCAGAGGTAGCACTGCCTGATGTTTTTGAAATCGTAACTGTAGACCTACCGTGCTTTCAAGCAGGAAATTGCAAAAGAAAAAATGCCGCCCGTATCTTCCCGCGGAGGGAACTCTGGTAAATGCATCACAGAGTGGTGGGGGTATTGCGTGAATGTTGCTTAAATGGGTATGGTTTGAGAATGCTTAATTGTTATTTTGCCTTTATTATTCTTATTTATTGAGTGCACGAGAAGCGTTGCCTTCAATGAGTGGTGGGACGCTGATGTGCGATCCAGTGTCTACATATACGGGGTGGTCAGTTAACGGTTGTGCAGCCTGAGCAGTCGGTTTTTACTAGCAGATGCTGCGGAAGGAGAGGAGGGAAGCAAACAGTTTGCACGAGATGCAAGCATGCGACAAAGCAATTTATTTGCCCTGTCGCCTTATTGCAGACAGAAATTGGGTGCCTTTTTTTTTCCTTTCTTCAAAAACCACTACCACCGCCCATACGCGAGGCGCGAGCATACGTCGTGGGGGTGTGGACATCGCCGCCGACTTGCGACATCGCGCGACAAGAAATGCTCCGCATTTGAAAATATCTAGAGTAATTCTCGGGAATAGTTCCGTGCTGTTTGAGGCCAGGACGGGAGTATTGCGGACCAAGACGTACCGAGCCAAATACGAAGTCACAGGCATGTTATGTAGTGCATGTGGAGAGGAGGAGGAAACAGCTGAACATTTTATGTTTTGTAAAAGGCTTCACCTTGTAGTCCCAAGATAATGAACATTTTATAATGTTTTGTAAAAGGCTTCACTCTGTAGTCCTAAGATAATGACACGGAATTTTTCGAAGCATTAAGGTTTAGGGACAGTGAGGCGAAATAACTTTGAAACAGGTAGAACTAGCTAGGAGGAGGCTAACCGATTGGTGGCTACAATCAAGGCGAGAGTGAAATTTTCATCCGCAGCGCCACCATGCGTTGCTTTGGCTCCCTATTGTGAACGCTTACATAAGTGTAGTTTCTCCAGACAACGAAAACAGGCGCTCACTAGGTGCACTAGTGCCGGTGCATTTTGACTTATAGTTTAATCCTCTAAGCATGCTCTCTCAGGAGGAGGGGTGACAACCGACTGGAACAATGTTTATTATAGTGCTTCATCGTATATTACCCTATAAGAACGCTGATATTCCCTTACTTTTGAGCTATATTCATTTTCATTTCACAGAGGCTATTTGTTTTGGTGGTGATTTCCTTAAGTATAATTTCGGCACTGTGTTGTAAGGACAAGCTCGGCCTCATACACTTCGTGGTACTCTGGCAGCCAAACTAGAACACTAGTACGAAACTAGAACACAAAATAAAATAAACTGAAACCAGTTTTTCTATTATTGCATCAGACTGAACGAAATTCAATCGGTACATGTATGCTATTTTTGTACCGATTTCTAAGTTAGAATCGCTTAAAAATTACATGTTCTAGTTGATGTAGTGGTACCGTTTTATCTCAAAATCAGTTATAAGGCACTTTTCACTAGAGGTTTTTGTTATATGCTTGAACGGCATTTCCTGTGTCGTGAGGCCGTTGCATTATTCTTTTAATGCGATAGCGTTAAAGAGCTCGTTTCACGGAAATTCCGGCGTCGTTGGTTGTGAGTAAAAAATAGTCTTGTCTGTGATAAAAAATGTAGGAAGATTCAAATAAAATATTTAAAATATTTTGTTCTATGAGAATAGAACCCAGGCTGGGGGCGTGGCAAGCGTGTTTTGTCACAGAGCCACGCTAATGCGTTTGACGGTTGCAAAAGAACAGACATTACAGATACACGAAGAATAAGCGCGGAAGACGGGACGAGAAGCTACAGGACACATACACAGCGCTGACAGGCGAAATACAAACGAGAAAAGGACACGGCGTGTCCTCCTGTTTTCGGCCCGTCTTTTGCGCTGTTTTATTATTTCATAGATATGTGCGGTTTAACGTCCCAAACCCACGATATGATTATGAGAGACGCCGTAGTGGAGGCCTCCGGAAATTTTGACCACCTGGGGTTCTTTAACGTGCACCCAAATCTGAACACGCGGACCTACAACATTTCCGCCTCCATCGGAAATGCAGCCGCCGCAGCCGGGATTCGATCCCGTGACCTGCGGGTCAGCAGCCGAGTACCTTAGCCACTAGACCACCACGGCGGGGCACTGTTTTATTATTTTTCTACCATGTAGCCCCAACCATCCCAATTCAGCACTGTTAAACATTAGTAGAGGGACCTATTCTAGGTCACTCTAATATTAGATAGTTTTAGTCTGTGCGCAAACTTATTTACGTTAGCATTATACCGGGAACTGTAGCCGTGAATGAGAACCCTAGATCACTCACGCGCATCAGGCCACGAGGCGCGCGCATTGAGGCACCCTAAAGATAATGCTGATAATATAGTGGCCATGCCCTTTGTACACAAGCTGATGTCGGACCAAATATAGTGAAAAAAAAGAATAGGTAGAAAAAAACAAAGGAAGACAGGGAGGGAAAAAATCACAGCATATACACGGAGTGAATGATGATAAGTGGGGCCAAGCATTCATCCGTCCGTTCGTGCAGGCGTCCATGTGTCTGATCGCGTTTGCGAATGCAGACGGCGCGCGGGTAACACCGACGAGACGCGTGCCAAGGAAGCCGAGCGCAAGCGTCTTAAACGCGCCCGCCACTCTGCTTCGTCCATGTCCCACCAACCATCCGTGACGTACGGCGACTATCCACGAGACTGAGAGAGGCACTCGTTCTCCGCGCACCCAGGCACAGAGTAGCGGTACAGCGCCATGTAGAATATCCTCACTCAACTGCAGTTTGCATATACTTCTATCAGGCGCCATCATTATACTGTTAGGGAGATATTGCCTTCTTTTGTTTCTCGTCTCTTCCCTTGGTTACGCGTGAAGCATGACAAGGTTAGACTACAAGGAGCCTCACCCTTAAAAGGAGCACGAGAAGCTACGCTCGTCTAGCTCGTCACACTTCAGTCAGTCCACCGCTCTGTCAAACGCCGCGTTGTTACGTCTTTGTACTGCTACCGCTCTCCGCACATACGCGGCGTGTTCGCAGATATGAAGTGGCGTCCGGCGGTGGTGGTTTTTGTTGCTGTGCACAGTTTCACAATGTGTTCTGTAGTCTCGGAAGCCTTGCCACACACCTTGCATTGGGTGCGCATTTCCGCAAGGTCGAAGCGGTGTGGTATTGGAGTGTTCGAAAGACTTCGCTTCATGCCTCGAAAAGCAGACTGCTGCTTCCATTCTCAGATACTCGTTCCTACTGTATTTTGGCTTTGGAGCTCGCGTAGAGTTTGAGCGTTGGTTTTCTGCTGTCTCGGCATGCCAGGCGTCCCTCTCGTGCTGCTTGACCAGTGGACTCGGCATTTCACTCCATTCATTTGCACTCTCTGCATACACTTGGTTAGCTATGGAAGACGTCCCATTTGCGGTGAAACTGCTGAAGGCGCCTGACCCATTGCGTGCGCATACAGTTTTGGTTTAGATAGTTAAAATACCTTGCGTAAGAGCTGGTGCGATCTGACGGGAGCGAGATGAACCAGGCAGAGG